CTCCATGACAACAGGGTCCCCTCTGTCTCGTTCACAGCCATGTTTCCAGGGCCTTGAGCGGTGCCTGTACATAGCAGGTGCTCCCAAATATTTGTTGAATGAATGAATGTTCTACTGTAAAGAATTTGTTTACTCTCTATAATCTCACCTTGGGGGATGGGCCTCTTTTTCTCTTTGTGTTATGACTGTACAGAGTAGGGCTGAGTAGATACTAAAGCTAGGATTTTAGTGGCAAAAGAACTAAAGATAGAGAAGGTGAGTGGACCTGGGCGAAGCTGGAGGTGACCGCAGAGAACCCTGGTGCTCAGCCGGGGGTGGGTTGTGTGTGTGGGTTGGAATCCCAGGTGGGCCTTTCTGACTTCCCTGGGCTGGGGAGGCAAGTAAATCTGGTTTGAAAAAACTTGGGCAGATGGGACAGGCTCTGCCTAAGTCCATCAGTGACCTCAGGAAGTCCCTGCTCGTGGCCTCGGGTTCATCCTGGGTGAACTACAGGCGGCCACGGCTGAGCTGCCCGGCCTAGGCACGCGCCCAGCAAGGCCCACTTCTCCAGTTTCCGTTCCTCCCACTTTCCCCGAGCACCGTCAGCTTCTCTTTTAGGAAAGCTCGCCACTGTGGTCAAAGTGGGAAGCCTGTGTCAGCTCATAACAGTGTGTGTCAGCTGCACTTGTGGGAAATTCCCAGAATCCTAGTTGTCATGGCTTTGTTCACTGGGACACACCCTGCAGACCCTCATCACTTTATTTTGATATAAACTTACATTTGCTCTTCCCCTCGTATCACAGCACATTGTCGGGTCCCAGACCACCCTCAGATTTGGTGCTTCACCAGAAGGACTCAGAACTCAGCACAGCGGTTAGGCTCATAGTTACAGTGAGAAGCGGCCCAGAGCCCTGACCGGTTTGGCTCCGTGGATAGAGCGTCGGCCTTCGGACTCAAGGGTCCCAGGTTCGATTCCAGTGAAGGGCATGTACCTTGGTTGCGGGCACATCCCCAGTGGGGAGTGTGCAGGAGGCAGCTGATCGGTGTTTCTCTCTCATCGATGTTTCTAACTCTCTATCCCTCTCCCTTCCTCTCTGTAAAAAATCAATAAAGTATATTTAAATTAAAAAAAAAAAATCAGCCAGGGAAAAGGCACCGCAGGCAGAATCCAGGAGAGACCAGGCACCAGCTTCCGTTGTCTCTTCCAGGGACGTCACACAGACAGCGCTTAACGCTCCCAGCAATGATGTGTGACCACACACGGCAAGCCTTGCTGTCCAGGCTTTTATTAAACGCCTGTCACATTTTTTACTCAGTGTCCAACCCCTGCAGAGGTCAAACTGATATTGTGTGGCCCAATGCCCCATCTTTTTTTTAATTTTATAAATTTATTTTATTGATTTTTTTACAGAGAGGAAGGGAGAGGTATAGAGAGTTAGAAACATCAATGGCCCTGACCGGCTTGGCTCAGTGGATAGAACGTGGCCTGCCGGACTGGAGGGTCCCAGGTTCATTCCCGGTCAAGGGGCATTTAACAGTGTTCTCGGGGCACATCCCCCAGTAGGGGTGTGCAGGAAGGTAGCTAATCGAGTTCTCTTTTTCTTATTTGAT